AGAGCTGAAGGCCAATCAAAGCAACTTGGGCTACCATAACACCTCAACTGTGTCAAAGGCTGATCGCCTCCATGCCACGCCGCCTTGATGCAGTAATTAATGCAAAAGGAGGCCCAACAAAGTACTGAGGACATAATACAGTACATTAACACACTTTTCAGAAGGCCAACATGTGTTTAAGATCCTTTTTTTTATTGGTCACATGAAATATTCTAATTTTGTGAAATACTGGATTTGGGGTTTTTTTTGTCTTTAATCCATAATCATCAAAATTGAAACAAATAAAGGCTTGAAATATTTCACTTTGTGTGTAGTGAACTAATATAACATAAGTTTCACTTTTTGAAACAAGTTATTGAAATAAATGGACTTTTCCTCGATATTCTAATTTTTTGGCACATACCTGTACTGTCAGCCTGTGGGTGATGAGAAATAGACTTCTCATAGCAAGGGAAGGACACTTTTAACTAAGAACATAATGGCTCTGATCCACTCTGGCGTGTCAATAAGCGTATGTCAGAACTAACCTGGGCAGATTAAAGGCTGCTGTTGGAACCTACTGAACAAAAGACTTTAATACAGAACTTCTCTATAAAACAGGGCCTGAAGATTAAATAATAATGCAGGACTAGCTGATATTGTACTTTATAAACAGTAATACATTCAATCAAATTACCATAACTCAACTGACACCTGAAGAACCACGGGCTATTGAAGCTCCAGGGTCTCAGGGAAAAACCCAAATTTTTACCATTTTATTTATTTGAAATTTTCAATGGATTTTTAAAAAAAAAAATTCTAAGTGTTGATTTAATCACATACAGTGCCTTGTGAAAGTATTCGGCCCCCTTGAACTTTGCGACCTTTTGCCACATTTCAGGCTTCAAACATAAAGATATAAAACTGTAATTTTTTGTGAAGAATCAACAACAAGTGGGACACAATCATGAAGTGGAACGAAATTTATTGGATATTTCAAACTTTTTTAACAAATAAAAAAACTGAAAAATTGGGCATGCAAAATTATTCAGCCCCCTTAAGTTAATACTTTGTAGCGCCACCTTTTGCTGCGATTACAGCTGTAAGTCGCTTGGGGTATGTCTCTATCAGTTTTGCACATCGAGAGACTGAAATTTTTGCCCATTCCTCCTTGCAAAACAGCTCGAGCTCAGTGAGGTTGGATGGAGAGCGTTTGTGAACAGCAGTTTTCAGTTCTTTCCACAGATTCTCGATTGGATTCAGGTCTGGACTTTGACTTGGCCATTCTAACACCTGGATATGTTTATTTGTGAACCATTCCATTGTAGATTTTGCTTTATGTTTTGGATCATTGTCTTGTTGGAAGACAAATCTCCGTCCCAGTCTCAGGTCTTTTGCAGACTCCATCAGGTTTCCTTCCAGAATGGTCCTGTATTTGGCTCCATCCATCTTCCCATCAATTTTAACCATCTTCCCTGTCCCTGCTGAAGAAAAGCAGGCCCAAACCATGATGCTGCCACCACCATGTTTGACAGTGGGGATGGTGTGTTCAGGGTGATGAGCTGTGTTGCTTTTACGCCAAACATAACGTTTTGCATTGTTGCCAAAAAGTTCGATTTTGGTTTCATCTGACCAGAGCACCTTCTTCCACATGTTTGGTGTGTCTCCCAGGTGGCTTGTGGCAAACTTTAAACAACACTTTTTATGGATATCTTTAAGAAATGGCTTTCTTCTTGCCACTCTTCCATAAAGGCCAGATTTGTGCAGTATACGACTGATTGTTGTCCTATGGACAGCGTCTCCCACCTCAGCTGTAGATCTCTGCAGTTCATCCCGAGTGATCATGGGCCTCTTGGCTGCCTCTCTGATCAGTCTTCTCCTTGTATGAGCTGAAGGTTTAGAGGGACGGCCAGGTCTTGGTAGATTTGCCGTGGTCTGATACTCCTTCCATTTCAATATTATTGCTTGCACAGTGCTCCTTGGGATGTTTAAAGCTTGGGAAATCGTTTTGTATCCAAATTCGGCTTTAAACTTCTCCACAACAGTATCTCGGACCTGCCTGGTGTGTTCCTTGTTCTTCATGATGCTTTCTGCGCTTTAAACGGACCTCTGAGACTATCACAGTGCAGGTGCATTTATACGGAGACTTGATTACACACAGGTGGATTCTATTTATCATCATTAGTACTTTAGGTCAACATTGGATCATTCAGAGATCCTCACTGAACTTCTGGAGAGAGTTTGCTGCACTGAAAGTAAAGGGGCTGAATAATTTTGCACGCCCAATTTTTCAGCTTTTTATTTGTTAAAAAAGTTTGAAATATCCAATAAATTTTGTTCCACTTCACGATTGTGTCCCACTTGTTGTTGATTCTTCACAAAAAATTACAGTTTTATATCTTTATGTTTGAAACCTGAAATGTGGCAAAAGGTCGCAAAGTTCAAGGGGGCCGAATACTTTCGCAAGGCACTGTATTCCTTCCCCTATCAATCCACACCTTTCCTTTATTTCCCTCTATCATTTGAATTTATTTAGAATTTTAAGTAGCACAACTGGGCCTCACTTAACATTTTTCTCCTTCTCAAAAGTTTAATTAGCACCTACTGTTTATTTTTTCTTTCAGGTGATTAGGACAACCACTACAGACTATTCTATGAATAATTCAAATTTAGAGCCAGACACTGAATACACTGCCACAGTACGCTCCAGTCCTGATATGACTCATTACAAGGGACAGTGGAGTGATTGGTCCACTGAGGTTCACTGGAAGACAGCATCAGCCATGAAGGGTGAGTCTCCCATTGTAGACAGCTAAGATGAGTAACGTGCATATTTTACCTGGAAGAAACCTAATATGCATTTTCTCCCACAACTGTGCACCTAATTTCTTCCACTCTGTGTTGCTCTGCACAGATTTCCCAACAAACACAGTCAAGTCTAAACTTTGGATGATGGTGTTGATCGCCCTGTGTGCGATGGCGCTACTCATGCTGTTTTTGTGCTACGCTCCTCTTAAAAAGTAACCTCCTCCTCCTTCAACTTTTGATTTCTCATCAAATCCAAAACAACAGTACAGAAAATCCCATTTCCTACAACCATTATCTCACAGAATATTACATTACTCACTACTTACAGGTGGAGGCAAAGTGCTTTTATCCCAACACCAGCGCCCTATTTCCACACCCTGTACAGTGACTGCCAGGGAGATTTCAAGGTACATATATCACACAAAATACTAGCAATTACTTCATGAAAATGCCTCTAATCATGACTGTGATTATAGAGCTGGGTGGTTACACACAAAACTGCAGAAGACATGCTGCATGAAGAACCACTCCAAATTGACACCCTGGCCAAGTGTGCAGAAGTCCAAGAGGAAGAGTGTGAGTGCCACTTTCCCTGTGAGGCAATGGAGGGCAGTGTATACAGCAACGTCACCGGCCCATTGTGCAACTCCTCTCTCCTGGACATCCCTTACACAGCGAGCACTGTGCCTCCACTGTCAGCTCCAGGAAGCTTGCTGAGCTCGACCCTCAGCTCTCATGCTGAGGGAGACTCTGGATGCTGGCTCTGCAGTAATACTTCCCTGAAGAACGAACCTCCATGCTACTATAATGAGTACTGCACATTGAGCGCCTTCCAGGGGTGTACTCCAATCAGTGCAGAGCAATGTGGGTGCTCCTTAACAAAATCTTGCCCACATGGGATTAGCAAAGCAGATGCCAATTAGAGTATGAAGTAACCGAGCAGTAAAATAGTGAATATGGGCCTTAACGTTCAGAACAACGCTTCAACTGCTTCAAGCTGAAAACAGCTACTGCAATTGCATTACTTTAGTTTTTACATTTAGTGGTATTTAACCATTATGAAGATAAGCAATAACTTGTATTTGTATACCAACATTAGACACAATGTAAATGATATGCTGTCAGCTTGCATCAAATGTTAAACTGTATAAAGAAACGTGAACAAAATATTTCCCAGATTAAAATTTCATTTTGACAAACTGTTTTGCTTTGTTTCAGAAATTTTATAAGCCAAGATGAACTTGCTGTATATTTTTCTTCTTTAATAAAATTTTTAAAAAGTTTTGTAGAAAGTTTTATTTACGCCAACACATACATGAACAAAGCACCATATAACCTTAAAGTCTGATACAGAAGTACGCCTACCTGCCTCGGTCACTGTGGCCATTTTTATTTATTCAATAGCAAACACTCTGGATAACAAAAAGACAGCCAAGGCAGCAGATTCTATCATATATTACAGCATGCTGAATAGAAAACCTGGGAAAAAGAATTTGACAGAGCCATCTAGAGACACTAGTGAGATACAACAGTATAAAAGTGCCATTCATTATACAGCAGTTCAAATACTGACAATGAAATAAGCTAATTTTACATTAAATTTATGGAAAATAAAAGGGGGAAACAAAGGAATAGACCCTGTGAAAGAGCAAAATAAAACAAAGACATCATTGAACATTGATGATCCAACTTGCATGGAGTCTTTGAAAATGGTACTGAGCTGTGTGTCCCTTGCACCACATAAGACAATTCATGTTTAAAAAGAAATGACCAGGGTGCTGAGGCACCCATCTCCTCCCAGCATTATGTGCCAACCGGCAATTAAGAACAAAAAATGATAGGTCAGAAGAGAGCGGATGGCACAGAATGTGTGGAGTTTAAATAGCAGTCTTTAAGCGAGTCTCGATGTGAGAAAAGCACATTCATTGAGAGACTGAGCGGGGAGGTGATTCATGTTAAACCCATTCCTTCTGCCGCAGTGGAGTGAGTCTTCGCCCTTATGAGGGGGAGAATTTTTTGGCTTGTGCTCGAACTCTTTTTTCATATTCTACTCTGTTTTGGCTGGAAAAGGGTGAAATAAAAAAGTCATTATCAGGGTGTTCTGATTTCTTACTCATCAGAAATAAGAGCCGTTTACAAACCATTATTATAATTTTCAGGAGCAGACAAACCTACAGTTTCTACAGTACAGGCTGTCCATGTGACGCAAGCTGAGACCTGGCTGGACAACTCACTGCCTTGAAGCAGCCACTTTATTGTTAGTGTGCAGATTAAAATAAGCTGTGAAACATGATTCACTGATTTGGTGAAACACATCCTGACCTTCAGTACGTGTACGTGCGCACACACACACACACACACACACACACACTTAACAGACACACTTCACTCACTACTGTTTATACCTCAGAACTGTCTCTTCAAGTGTATGTTTGAGGTTTTTTTTAAGAAGCCTGGCCTACAGCTCACTATCACCACATCTGGCCACATCTGCCAGCGTTCACATCAGTGAGGACATCCATTGCTAATGAGACCGATAAGGAAGACCTGGCAGGTTAAGGAGGAAACTATTCAGTGTCAAAGGAAAACAAAAGCTACTTCAGTGGCTTAAATAACAAAACGAGATCTGGAAGTTAATACCTTGTTTGCCTAAAATTGGCCTTGTGTGGGATTTTATTTGGACCACATAGGTTTACTTTACCTACAGTGTAACAAACTATCCATTTGGAAACCAGCTCCCTCGGGGTGATGATGAGCACGAATAATTCATCAGTTTCAACCTATTTCAGTAACTGACTTCTCATCTCCTTAGCTCATTTTAGACACATACATACATACATACATGTAGGAATTGTGCATGCTGACACCAGGTTTGAAAAGTTGAAATGGATGAAGTTCACTGTAGCTCACCAGTAGATTGTGTAAGCCTCTGCTTGGGCTGGATCCTGGATATTTGGCTCATTTAGGAGTTCCTGGATTCCTAATAAGATCTGTAGGATAAATAGACCAATGACACAATGTGACTTCATAATCAAAGATTCAGCTGATTTTGCATTTCTTCATAGGGCTGCTTAAAATATTTGTTGGTTACAAAAGTTGTTGGTCAGTTGTATGAACTTGATTTTAATTAAGGTCAGATCTCACTGGAGAGTTCAAAAAATCTTGTCACCTATTTTTAAAAGTGAATAAAATGGACTGATTGACAAAAATAAGGTTTATTTTTTCTTTTTGGAAAACCTGTAAATGTAAATGACACAGATGAGAAATCCAAACCTGCTTTATTGTGATGGCTGGTCTCCAGTCCTTATCCTCCTCTAGAATAGATAAGCATACTGTGCCTGATGGATACACATTTGGATGGAAGAGTGGAGGCTCAAATTTACCTGAAACACAACAGAACATGAAGTGTACTTATGTTACCGATCCATTACAAATGTCAGATAAAATGAACAAACAAATATCACTGGGCTTTTGACAACATAAACTGAACTGTTTGATTTAAGGTAGCAGCCCTGAGCCATATTTCAATATGGCATACAGACACCCCCCCAACACTACCCAAGTCCCCTGCTGACTGATGCGTCACAGTTCCCTGGTATTATGCCCACTCGTTTATGGTAATGTGATGGTTTTGTTCATACAGTGGTCAGTATTTTTCTCTCAGTAATTCGTTTTGTCTTGAGCAGCTGAATTGTCAGTGCTATTTCTGTATCTGCTCGCAAATTATTCAAGACTTCAAACATTACAAGCAAATTACTGCACAATGTTGTAAAATGAACAGTGAGGAATGCACAAGTGGACAGCAACAACTTGTTGGGTTTCCAATTAACATCCAAATCACTTTATAAGCAACAACGGAAGGATAAAGTTACTGTGCCCATCCATCAGCAAGATTTTAGATCAGCCTGAACAACCGTTGAACCACAGTGCTTAGAGGTCATTAGCAAAGTCTTCCAACAAAATAGTGATGTGAGAAAAACATGTTTGCTATTGCTGTGAAGGGAGAACCAATCACAGCCACGGTGTCAAGCAGGTCCAACACTGCTCTACTTTAGTAAGAAAGCTTGAACATGGGGCCACTACTATAACAAAGTTACTTCAAAATTAGTGTAGCAACAATTTAGCAAACTGGCTAAGTTAGCCTTTGGTTACAAACTATGTTTTTCATTGCCAGGATATGTCATGTTTGAAGACATTTTTTAATTTGATTTAGCCATGTACAGGATGAGAGGATGTCTTATTTAGCCATCAGAATTTTCAGAATTAATGCACTGGCTGAAAAAATATGGAAGCTCATTCACCCCCTCTGGTGAGAGAACCAGGGGACTCCTAGACTCCTGGCAGCAGTTTGACCATTTCAAATGTCAAGCTTTCATTAACTTAAAGTGAGCCACATTGTTGAGCCATGTCTACACTGAACAAGTAGTGTGTGCAGCATGCAACATCTTGCAGCGCAAACCCACGCTCCTATCTATACTGGGAATGCATTCACTCATGCAGTGGAAGTGCACATAAAGAAGTCTATATTAATGCACTGGAAAAAGAAAAACTATGGTCCTAAACTATAACAAGTAGCAGACAGTGAGGTAATTACTGGTTACACTTGCATGTAGGCTATATGTACAGTGTATCCAACCATGGTAAAACACAGCAAATGAAAAATACACACTTTAAGGAGAACTGCATGTTCCATGTTTTGTAGATCTTGTGTTTTAACTGTGTCTATATGATATATATGGTTTCTCTGTTTTGGTGGAGTTCTGGTTGGAATTAGTGAGCTTTCATTGCTTTGGTGGATTATGTGGCATGCTTAACTCATGTAGCTGCAAAATAAATGATTAAAATATATAAATAACTGAAACAATTAAAAATAAATAAAAAGAGCTGAAGCATATAAATACACTTCAGATCACAGTTACACGCATTAAATATGTGATATGCAAGTCGACAAGGGCGACGTAGACAGCTGGATTGACTAGTATAGGAGTGTATCAAAAATGCAGCCGAAACAAGAGTTTTCACTCTTCCATGACTGGAAAACAGGCTTCAAAAAGTCAAGGTTTTCCAGGATGCATGGGAACCCTGTGAAACAACTGTGATGTAGTCATGGCTCTACTTGTGCCAGCTTTAGGACAAACCTGGTAATGCTAAATGTCCCCAAAGGAAGGAAGGCATGCAATATAAAATGAACCTGGCTTTATGTTTTAGAAGAAGCATTCTTCTGTGGAGTGTTTGTTATTAACTCAATCTACGAAGTACATAATGTAGACTGAATTCTATAGGCATCTGCTACAGCAAAATAAGAGTTCCTGTGTGTAGTAATAATAGCTGTGTTGCCACTGAACACAGGTAGCTCACATTTTGGAGGTGAAGAAGGATAGTCATCCTTGAACAACATGCGCAGTTTGAAAAGGCCTCCTTCCCATGGAGTCTGAGGACACACAATTGCTAGATTAGCTTCTTAACAGAAAATCACAGATGTGCACAGGTTTCTGCCAAAGATTACTCATAAAACCTAATTATTGCTAGTTTCATTACATTACTTATCCTAACCCAATCACATGCAAGACATAATGTAACAGTTGGAACTTCATTATATAAATGTCACTACCATTAAGCAGAAGCTGCTATGTAAAGCAAAGATGTTCCATAGGCATATGCACTATGAAATACATTACCCCCTTCTTGCCCGGAATAGCACATTCCCAATTCATGAGATTCATGGTTCCATCTGGATTTTTGGTTGGTACAGCAACAAATCCCTACAAAATTGAGCAGGAGAATGCAAACCGTTAAGGTGTCAGTGTTTATTAGAGGACTGAGCACTATAATGAAATCCCAAAAAAGACATTCATAGTGAAGCCAGAACAGATGCATCTTCCAAGACTACTTACAAAAGGATGGTCCTTCCGCCATGCCTTGCGCTCCTGGGCAAGCCGGCTCAATGCAATGCCTGACATGATCTGTGGACTCCTGTAAGGGAAGAAATGCCAGGGCAAATTATATGAAGTCATTAGTCAACTGAGTCATTTATAAAGCTAAACAGCCAAACATTAGCTGGCCCTGATGCAAGGATTTCAAGATTTTCTCTGCTATCTTTGTAAACTGTGTGACACCCAAGTACCTAAATATATAGTGAGATGTTTGTCATACTGGTATGCCCACCAGACTATGTCTGTTAGATGGGATAACTGTATATCTGCGCCTTTTCAGACCGGTAAC